GTATTCAACACTCTTCTCCAGCACCACAGCTCAAAGGCATCAATTCTCTTTCTATCAACCCAATTCACTGTCCAACTCTCTGATGCATAGCACATAATTGCGAAGACTATAACCCGGAGCAGGCACACCTTAGTCTCCAGCCTGACGTCGTTGCTCTTCAGTATTCTTGAGAGGTCCATCACAGCCGACTTTCCTAATGCAATTTGTCTCTTGATTTCCTGGCTGCTCTTACCAAGAGTGTTGAATATGGAACTAAGTAAACTAAAACTGTTAACTATCTCAATCTCTTCATCATCCATACTGATGCTGCCAATTGGCCCAGTGGTGAGAATCTTACACACACAATATTATCTTTACACCATCCCTTCTTGTAAAATACACATGGACTACACAAGTTAAACACATAGGGCTAGAGTTTCCTATAATGAAAATTCTTTACTTTTATTTTAGGGACAATGGTAGTTCAGTGGTAGGAATTTCACCTCCCATACATGGATTTGATCACTGGCTGATGTACCTCAGGTGCAGCCACTGTTTATCTGTCAGTGGATGCTTGCAATTTTACTACGATGCTAAACAGGTCTATCCAGATTGAGAAGATTAAAAAAATCCCTGGAGACCTACTACTGCAAAATCAGTCAATGAAAAGGCTACTTATTACAATCTTAGGATTCCAAAACTGTTAGCCAGTGACTCTAGGGTTAAGCTAGCAGAGTCTAACAACAACATCTATTCCTGTGTCTATTTTCCTATTGTTTTTAAAAAGCAGCTTGTCACAGTCATCTAAAAAGAAAATTCAGATTTGCCTGAAATTTGTCTGAAATTAATATAAAGCATTATTTTGTGAAGAAAAAATATTTTTCAGAATCCAACAAAATTTGCTGCAAGACATTTACTTTATTTACTTGAAATCATTGGAATGAGGACTCATGAAAACTAAGACAATCAAGATTGGAATGTGTTCTCTTTTTTCCATTATATGTGATTACAAGGGAGCTCTGGTGGCCTAATGGCAAGAAACCACACTTCAATTCCTAAGGCACACTGTTCGATGCCACCAGCTAGCTGCTCTGCAGGAGAAGGATGGGCATTCACCTCCTGTGTAATTAATTGCCTCTGAAAACCCACTGGAGGGTGAGCTATGGGTTGTCTCTGTCTCTATGGTACATAACAACAATGTATGTGATCAGAAAAATGTCTTCAGTATTCTGAATCATTCAAAAGACAGATGTGTTGTTATGTGCATTCAAGTAACTTCCAACTCATAGCAACCCTATGTACAAGAGCCCTGAACCCTGCTCTATCCTGTGCCAACCTCACTGTCTCCGACACACCTATTCCCACTACCCCAATCAGTGAGTCGACGATCCATCTCATTGAGGGTCTTCCTCTCCTGCGCTGTCCCTCCACTCTCCCAAAATTGATGTCCCTCTCCAAGCACTTGTTCCTCCTTGCAACATACCCAAAGTATGCCAGATGAAGCTTCAGAATCCTTGATTCCAAGGAGCAGCCTGGCTTCACCTTCTCCAGGACAAACCTGTTTCTTCTCCTAGCAGTCCATGTTATAGTCAACACTCTTCTCTAGCACCACAGCTCAAAGCCATCAATTATCTTTTTATCATCCCTAATCATTGTCTATCTCTCCGATGCATGCCATGCAATTGTGAAGACTATAGCCCATTTCAGGCGCACCTTAGTCTCCAGCCAGACGTCATTGCTCTTCAGTATACCTATACCTATACCTATACACACCAATTGCTTACATATCTTAAAAATCTAACCACCACTACCCCCTCCAAACAAAACCAGAACATCTCCACCCAAGCATCTATGGTTTTTTAAAAAGGGTGCTAATAAAGTTCCTGGGACAATGGCGGGTCTGTAATTCTGGATCTCTTTTGATACTATGCACCACTGAATTCAGGTTCCCTCCCCTCTGGATTCCAGGAGAGAGGGCACAGCTCCGAGTGGGCAATAGATGCGGGGTTGGCCCAAGAGGGGCGGGAGTTTTCCAGCCCCACCCCCAGTCTATGGTTTAGCACCACCCCGTACCCGCAGTTCAGGTCCTAGCAGCTTATCAAAAACGACACTTGAACTTTCACAATAATAATTATACTTCTTTACATTCTTGCATTCGAGTCATTTACAGAAAAAAATTCTGGCCCCTGTCTGGTCTCAGCAAAGGATGTGAGCTGGCGCAGCCTGCTGGATCATGGTTGTGAGGGGCACCTCTGCCAGGACCCGGCAGTAACGTCTCTCCGTCGCGGTCTAGGCGGAGGCGAAGGAGATAGGGACTTCTCCCCGGACTTTCAGCGGCCGGCGCACATCATTCCCCGTTCTCCGGTTCTTCTCGGCCCGTACCCTCGTTGAGGGTTGCTCTCGCAGCCCTGGAGGACCTCGCGGCTCCCGAGGCGGCCTCCTGCGCCATCTGCCAGCGCACATTCCGCGACCCGGTGCGCGCCGACTGCGGCCATCAGTTTTGCCGGGCGTGCGTAGTGCAGTTCTGGGCCGAGGAAGACGGACCCTTCCCTTGTCCCGAGTGCTCGGACGACTGCTGGCAGCGCGCCGTGGAGCCGGGCCGCCCGACGCTCAGCCGCCGCCTGCTGGCGCTCGAGATGGCCGCGGCGGGGTCCGCGCGTGACGCCCCGGCCAGCGAGGCCGCGCTGCAGCTCCTGTGCCGCGCCGATGGGGGTCCGCTGTGCGGGTCCTGCCGCATGGCCGGTGCGCCCGAGCCGCCAGAGTGGGAGCCCCGCTGGAGGAAGGCCCTGCGAGGAAAGGTGCGCCCGCTCCTGACAGTGTGCTGGTACCATCCCCTTCCCCATCCCTGATCGCGTCCTGTCAACCTTGCCAGCTCTGTGTCATACCCTCTTGCTCCCACCAGATGGTGTCCTGCTGCCTCCTCTCTGTTAGATACCCTGATTGACCCCCTCCCCCTAGATCTTCTGTCTTCACTGTTAGGCGCTTGGTCTCTAGGCCTGCAGGTGCACCCAACGCTGTTTTGTAGCCCTCCTTAACCCTTTTCTTCCTCCACCCAGAGTCCTCCTATTTATACTGTGTGAATGAAGATGTTGACCCCTTTATAATTTATTGTCTGCACGCCCAGCCATCCTTCTACTTCATTTCCCTTTGAATTCCTCCTTTGTACTTTCATGTTCTCAGATCTTTGGCGCTTATTGTCATTACATGTAGCACCTGCCATTCGTTATAGAAACAGGCTTATTTATATAAATTATTTATTTATTTATAGAAATTATATATTTATATACATTAGGTTAGGAACTGCAGGAGTATTTGCTCAACGCCCATCATTCTAGTACTTTGCCGCCAGAAAGGAGTAGGGAAAACCAAAATCCTGTCATAGTATATTTTTATGCGTACTTATTGCCAGACAGTATTATAGTGACAGCTCCCCTGTGCCTCAGGTTAAGCTTAAAGGTGAGTGCTGGAATCCTCACATAGTTAATGGATAAGGAAAGGGAAATAGAACCTGGAGAGGCTGTACCTTATGCTTTGCTGAGTTTTCTTTTTTCTTCTGTTGGGGATTGTCCCATCCAAACCAGAGAGACCTCAGTTCCTAGTCAAGAGGGCCTGGGGAAAGTTGTGTAGTCTCTTAGAATTGAATTTGGAAAATAATTTAGACAACCACCGCAACTCTGGTATACCAGCCAGTGTGAATTCATCCCAGAAAAAGTGATCAGGTGTGTTTTAGCAGATGTGGCTTCTTTCGAGGGACTTCTGACTGCCAGTAAACACTGTGGTCCTGGAGGCAGAGGAGCTTTAGTTCCGTTCCTAGGTTGATCTCTTAATAAATTTTTCTCATATATAATTATGAAAAAGTTTAGTCAGAGTTGCTGTGGAGAAACCCATTAAAAGTGGGAACCAGGGAGTTCTGGCTGGTGGCCTAGTGGAAAGAAGCTGCATTGCAATCCCAGAGGTGTGCGGTTTGAATCCACCACATCCTCTGCTGGAAAAGGATGGACAGTTTCCTCCTGTACCAGTCAGATCCGATTTGACAGTACACTCACAGAAAAATAATAAAATGTAAAAAAAAAAAAAAAAAGTGGGAACCATTTGGCACCTGTAAGTGAAGAGTGTTGCTTGTGTTTTATTTCTGGAAAAGTCAAATTGATAAAGTATAGCTCCGCAAACTGACTGGGTACAAAGTGGAGGCCCCCAAAAGTCAGCATGACTTGGACCTTCAGGACTTCCAAGGGAAACCATTGCTTCTCACTGTGAAAATAACCTGCTTCTCTCTTCAGGAAAATAAGGGATCTGTGGAAATCATGAGAAAGGATCTGAATGATGCCCGAGATCTGCATGGTCAAGCGGAGTCAGCGGCTGCTGTGTGGAAGGCAAGTGGCTGATCAGTTTGCAGCTTCATGTCCGAGTGAAATCAGAAGCATCCTGTGCCTTTCCTCGGGCTTGCTCCTCATGTGGCTGTGGGATGAAGGGAAAGTGGATCAAGCAAACTCAGCTGTCAGAACTAATGGGCAGATGCTTGGCTTAGTTGACTGAAGGAGGATGTTTGGAACCAGAATTATTGTGGGTATTTCACAAATATAACTTAGCCTAAACATTTGGGGATTTTCTTTTTGTTTCCCTCCATGTGTTATGTGTATAGGGTATTTTGCTAAATCCATCTTCCCTTTTTAGGAAATAACTTTTTTGCAACACTTTTAATTTTGATCTATAGACAGCATAGTTATTTCCATATATACTCAGTGACTATGTTGGTAGGACTTTAAAGTGTTAGCATTCCTCTGGTGGTTTATTTTGATACTTTAGATAATTTAATTGTCACTACATATATTTTAACTACCCATTAACAGAGCTTTTATAAACTAGTTTAGACTTCATTTCTTTTTACTTATGTATAATAAAATTTGTACTAGTTGCTCAGGTTTTATAACTTTCCCACCAGCCATTTTTTAAACATATGAAGGTTGAGTACTTTTTAAAATTGGAGCTGCTCTCAGCTTGTGAAAACTGTTTCATCCAGGTAAAAACCACTAGTGCCTCACCCCCCCCAAGTGCTCCTTTGCACTCTAGTTGCCACCCAAAACCTGGGTCCTAAAGTGCAAGTTTCATGCAGACAGTCACAGAGAGGTAAATTGGATACATGGTGCAAATCAGACTGTGAGGGCACATACCATCCTTGGTGGAACTACCTTCAAATTTTCTTCTCTGACAAGCACAGTGCTATGAATTGAGATCAGATGATATTGAGACTTTGAGGTCCTCCTCCAACTTTTCCAGTCACCCTGTCTTCTTCCACACTTTTTTTTTTTTTTTTACAAATTACTATTTTTGCCCAGAAATTTTAGTAGATAAGATCTTTTGCTAAAGCCTTAGGTTGAGTAGAGACATTTAAGTGAAAGTGCCTTTTAAATTCAGAGAATTCTATTTGTTTTGTACTACATCGACCTACAAGCAGGGGCTTGTCAAAGTACTTTGAACTGAGGAACCTGCCCAGAAATCCCATTGCCATTTATTTTCTTTTTCACCCGCAAAAACCATGATCTCTTTTACCATTGCTGTCATCAGTAGCTCAGTTCTCCAAGGTTAATTTGAAGAGCTTTTAAGAACCTCATAAATTCAAAGAGTTTCAGCCCACCACACTCTTTTCTTTCTTGGCTAAGTATTTGTTAAAGAATGGCCAGAAGGCTGAGTGGAAAGTCTAAATGTTTTAGATGCAATGAAATTGGGGCTTAGGTAAGAATGATGGGTAAGTCATTAGAGTATTGACTGTGTATCTGTGTATTTTGACTTTGCAATGGTTTGTAGACCTAGCCTAAGCATTGAGGAGACATTTATCTTTCCCTTCCACTATAGGAATAGACAGGATCTTTGGTAACCTCCAAGTTTGCAGTCACCAGTAAAAGACCACACACATAATGTGTGGTTGTTGTTGTTATGTGCTATGCCTCTGGAGTTGGAACTGACTTGTTATTAACCATTCAGTGGATTTTTAGAAGATATAAATTGCATGGGAGGAGATTGCCTGTCTTTCTTCTGAGGAGCAAATAGATTCAGACCTCTTGCCTTTGAGTTAGAAGTGCAATTCCTTACCCTCTAGATCACTGGGACTCCCATACATTGTGCTTGTACATGGGAAATGCTTTAGTCACAGAGAAGAACTAGAGATTGGCTGTATTAGTGGGCACTAGTTTCTCCTGTGACCAGCAGGGTCTTCCACATGTTGCTGGTGTAGGGTAGATGTCTTGTGCCATAATATGAGGAATTCAGTGTCATCTTCCTACTGTCCTTGAAATAGCTATCACAATGGGTTGGCCAGGTGCCATATGGTGTCTGTGCAAGAGACAGAGCATGTTATGGTGTGTATGGGAAGCATCCTCTGATAAGGAAGAGATATTTGGAGAGAGAAGCAACCCACTTCCTAGCTTCATTATCAGAGAATGATCTCAGCTCAAGGCCTTTACTTAGGCAGCCTGAATTGGAAACAGAGATGTAGACCATTCCCTTAACAGTCTATGATAACAGCTAAGTACTTTACTTTTTAAGTTAACCAGGCCCTCGGCCTGATTTAATTGTATTTGAAATGAACATTTTCCTATGTGGTACAGCACTTGTCTGTCATTTCACTGTACTTAGGTAATTTGGGATTCCTGTGGTTCATCAAATGCCATAATGGTTACACCTGGTTAACAATGTTTGGCAGAGCTCACAGATTAAGACAGGCTTTGAAGCAGGAGTGGCATCCACTTCCTAAACATGCCTGTGGAAATTATGAACTTAGAGAGAGGACAATTGTTATAGAACAGGGTTGGGTCTTTTGTTTATAGGGTCACCACTCAATAACACTTAACAATAACAACAACAACAAGCCAAACCCTTGTCTCCATTTTGGAGTTGGGTGAAGTGGTAGAATCTGTACAATCGTGCTCTTGATTTGGTTGAGGATCTGTGTGGATTGTGTGGTGATTTGGGTTTTTTTTTAAGCTTCTTGTTTAGAGTCAACACAGTTTAAGATAGGTTTGGAAGCAGGAGTGGCATCCACTTTCTAAACCACATGCCTCTGGAAACTCTCTGAACTTGGAGAAACTACGATAGTTCTAGAAAGGCTTCAGGCCTTTTTGTTCATAAGGTTTGCTAGGAATCATGCCTGACTCACGGCAATCATCAACAAGTACTTGACGCCAAACATTCTTCTCTTCTACCAAAAACAGAAGCTTTGATGTTTTAGACTTGACTGATTGGTGATTTGAATCTGCCAGTCACTTCAGAGGGGAAAGATGAGTTCGTTTCATCCTGTGAAGATTTACAATCTAGGAAACTCAGTGGAGGGTTGCCGTAAGTCAGAACTGACTTGAGTACAGTGTGGTTTTGGTGTGGGGTATCAGTAATGGGGAGGGTGGTATGAGGGTGCAGATTCTGGTCCTGGTATACAGGTGGGTATATATGTGTAGATCCACATTGTAGAACCCTGGTGGGCTTGACGATACAGATGTGCCTTCTGACTGTGTACCATAGGGCCACGTGATGGATCGGAGGAAGAAGGCACTAACTGATTATAAGAAGCTGCGTGCCTTTTTTGCTGAAGAGGAAGAACATTTCCTACAGGAGGCAGAGAAAGTCGAGGAGGCCCCGGAGGATGAGGGTACTGACCCAGCAGAGAGATTCAAGTCCCTCCTGCAGGCCGTCTCGGAATTGGAGAAGAAGCACCGCAATCTTGGTCTCAGTATGCTGCTCCAGGTGGATGCTGCTTACACATATCTTGAACTGTTGATCTCAGGTGGACATGCTTTACTCATGTGCCTGTGGAAGTTGTGTATGTGCTGAGCAATAGGGTGGCTGCAAAATATTGAAGAGAATTGCTTGTGTTTTAAATGCTTAATATCAGATTAGCAGATCAGAGCATGGTTAGGAGGAATAGCAGCAAACATTGTTAAAAGAAAAGACATGAAACATAATGTATAACTTCTACTTACTGTAGCTTTTGTGACCAAAAGAGAGTTCTGGTGGCCTAGTCAGTCCATATGAAGTTATGCTGGTAACCCCAAAGCTGCACCTCTCTGGTGGTTTGGATCTATCAGCTGCTCTTTGGGAAGAAGATGGGCAGACTTTTCATGTTATTTACAGCCTCAGAAAGCTGCTGGAGGATCAGCTATGACTTGGGTTCAACACCATGGCAAGGAGATTGATTTGAGACTGAATTTCAGGAATGAGTGATCCAAGGAAGATAACTTGAAAGAATTTAATCTAAGGAGCATGGCATCCTAGCTTTCAAGTGAAAAAGGATGTCTGATGTAGGGAAGACCTTTACCCCTAACGCTGAAGCAACATGGCATCTTGATGCTGCACTCTGGGGCTTTAAGAACAAGCATTGTCACCATAGGGTTTAGAAGCAGTTAGGGTTGAATGAGCACCTAGGCATCCCTAGGAGTACAGAGGCCATGGTCATCTAGCTTATCCCTGTCTAATATTTATGAGTTAAAACCCATTGATGTTGTGCTTATTTTTTCATCTGCATATATGATCCTGGAATCAGCAACTTCTAGTCTTTCCTTTTCCCTGGCTGTTGGGTTTTCTTTGCATTTCTGACAATATTAGTCAATGAACTCTAAACAGTTCAGCCCCTCAGGGACACAGTAGGTTATGAAGTCTCTGAAGACATTTAGGGTTGATGTAGGTGATACTGTAGTTTTTGTTTGGGTTCTGAGGGTCTAAGATATGGTAGGTAGGGCAGTGCTGGTGCTGGAATCCCTGAATGTGTTTGTTTCTCTTTTTTCCCCCATATACAGTGATGGCGCTGGCCCAGCTGAAGAGAAACTTGCTCAAACACGAGGCAGAAGAAAGTATTTCTACACACTGGCACAGGGGCCCTCCCTTTGCCTTTCCTGGGGAACTTTTCCCAGGTCTCTGGCCACTTTTCATCCCAGGGCCTTTTCCACGGAACCATTAATGTGTAACTGTGGGGGAAATCTCCTGTAGGTACCTTTGTCATTGATCAATGCAATGATTTTCAGCAGTGTTTCTTTTTCAGTTTTCTTTGAGGTGTTAATATTTTTGAGGCAGCAAACATTTTTATCATAGAAGTATGCTAGAGAGGTAACTTTAGTCTACTTATATTCCATCTTCTCTTAAAACTTGTGTCACTTTGTCAGGCTCTTATGCCTAATGTGCCTGGAGTCTCACTCACTCATGGTGATGGTCTGTTAGATGATCTCAATTCTTGTGATTTGGAACAAAATGCCAAGGGAATTAGGTTTAGTATCTTTTCATGCTGTTTAAGACTGGACTGTTTTATTGGCCGTTCTTATCTATGTCCAGAGATCACTTGAAGATACATAAGGCACGTCAGCTAAGGATAAACTTGTGGTTATTTTCAAAAGGAAGTCTTTGCGAAGGGTCATCATGACTCCTGGGTCATAAGGAAAGGAGATGTTTTAGCTACTATTTCAGTCTTTTCCTTTTGATTTGGTCTCAGGCTTTTTACTGTCAGCAAAGTAAGAGCTTGTCTACCTTTCACTAGCACTCTGATTTGCAGTCCTCCTGACAGGATATGCTTCCACAGAAGCTGCTCCTGTAGTGTGGAAATGCCTCCTCAAGCTCTTACGTGGGCCCAGAGACTGGACTGACATTGATGTGGATCCACCTCAGTTTTGGCAGCAGGAACCCTGATCTGTGGGATTTGGCCAGTCCTTTTGTAACACTGCTTTATCTGCTTGTGAGTAGACTGAACTTTTAAAGAAAAAGGAATGGAGGGGAGAAGGAGGATGAATAGTATTTTGACCCCTGCTGTAGGAGGAATCCATCTCTTGGTTTGTGTCAGGTATTGCTTTTTACTCTTGTCCCTCTTTCTTCTCTATTGGCCAGTTTTTCTTACTGTAAATCTTGCCTAATTTGCACTTCTCATTTGTTTCCTTCATTGTCTGTCCTTCCTCAGACTGAATGGGATTTTAGGGGCAGTGAGCAAGAGCTGTGCTATACACAGGTGGTCCATCCCTAGACCAAAGCAGCTCAAAGTACTTACAGTCTCCAGGCCTCGCTGTGGTTTTGCTTTTTGCTGTATCTCACTATCTTTTATTACTGCTTTGTAATTGCTATGATACATTACTGTAGCAGAATGTGTAAGTTAGTAGTAGTTCACTGCCTGCATCATCATTGTGTGTAGATTAGTCAGAGTTAGCAAAATGCAGCATAAAGTAGAGGACAATGAGAAGTATGGGAATGTTGATACAGGTAAACATTTAGAATTATTTGGGTTGACCGCTTGGATTGTAGCCTTGCTGTAGAACAGGACACTACTGTGAGAGACACCAGCGTATTTGGTAGAGGCCTGTTGTCAGGAGGACTTCCTCGTTGTGCCATTGTTCCACAAGAAGCACACAGCAGAGAGCCTCAGATGTGAGGACATCAACACCGTTGAGGGCCTGTAGAGGTGGGTATTAATATTTCCATGCTGTGTAGTTCTGTGTAATGGTAAATTAAGCTGTAACAGTGAATTTTGGAAGGGGTCAGGATTGTTACTGGTGGTTTATAGGAGAGAATGCCTGCAGTGCTGTGACTGACGATGCAGGCTGCAGCTGAGAACCAAGTCTGTTAGGTACATATCACCACTTTATATGATGACAATTACATGCAGCCATTGAACTCTGGAGGAGGACAGTCAAAACTGATGTCACTTGTTGCATGGGAGGAGATGGTGAAATAGAGGTACATATGCTGATAGGTTGGCAAGTCAGTTGATGCTTAGAGAAGATTACCAAGGTCATAGCTCTGAGCTTTATATTCCATGCACATTCCAGAAATTTGTACTAAATAAGTGAGTTGCTATCAGGAAGGCCTATTTGTGTATAAAACTTTTCAGACCTAGGAATAATTGGCTTTCCCTACTGATGACAAGTGACATTTCTCTTGTGTGCTCAAGGAGTGTGTTGTCATCCTGATAGCTAACAGTCAGGCTTGCCTTGAGCCTGGGCAGGCTTTTACATGGTGGTGAATAAAGTTGAGTTTGTTTTAACCTATTCTTTGTTCCCTCCTTTCTTTCTCTGTATTTGTGTGCCATTGTGGCCCCCTTCTTTCTCTGTGCCATGAATGATATGAGTCATGGCTGAAATCAGGGACCCTGGGAGAGAAGCAGAGTACCTGACCAGATAGTGACCTGAGCTACACCGTGTGGGGTTTTTTATGCACACCCTATTTATGTCTCTGTAGTAATAGCAAAAGCAACCCCATCTAACATAGTAGGTGAGATATTTGCTCTTTGTTTTGTTCCTTTTTTTCTGTGATCTCCATCATGTGTCCTTGCTTGTAAGCACTAAATATATAAACCTATACCTCACACTGCCCAAATGAACCTCTCCTTGGATGGCTCAGTACTTTAGTTGCTTATTCTGAAAATCTTGGCTTCTTTTTCTGTAAGTTCCCTAATAAAGTTAGATCTGATTGATCTGGCATGTATCTGCCACTTAGAATCTGACTTGAGACCTTAGTCTTACCACTGATACTAAGAAGTATTATACACTAAAAGATCTTTATGCAAGTGCTGCAGTTCCCTGTGTGAAGGAGGTATAAAGCATCAATAAGATTCTCTGTTAATTTTCAAGTTGACTGAAATGAGATAATGCCATGTGGCATTAGATGGATAAAACCTCAGATATTCTGAAGGGTGAGTAGACTAGTATATACTGGAGAAGATCTGCGGTTAAGTTAAATATATGTGAGAGTGTCCTTACTTTTGACACCAACTCCGAGTTCAGGGTGTTCTCAAAATCACCCGCAGGTTTGATGATTTGATACTAAAAGCTGTTGTACTCATATTTATGGTTTATTATGGGAGAGGGGGAAGTTTGTGGTCTTCTCAATCACTTACTATGCATTTGAGAGCTGGTCAATTAATAAGGATGACAGAAGTCATCCTTTGAGTTGTGTTGGAGAAGAATATGGAATATCCCATGGACTACCAAAAGAAGAAAGATGTCTTGGAGAAGGTGCAGCCAGAGTACTCCTTGGAGGCAAAGATAACAAAGTCTCATGTGCTTTGGGCATGGTGCTAGGAGAGACTATTCTGTGGAGAGAGACATCATGCTTGGCAAGGTGGAGGGTTGGCAAAAGGGATAAAGACCCAGAACCAGATGGATTAACATGATGAATGCAGTATTGGCTCTAGTATATCAGGAAATGTGAGGATGTCACAGGATAGAACAAGGTCCAGATCTGTTGTTCATAGGGTTGCTATAAGTCATACTCAACTTAATGGCACCTAACAACAACATAGGGGGGGGGGGAACTACAAATTAGTGTACTAAATGTAGTGTACCAAATGTAGCGTTCCTCTGTGGAGTTGGAACATTATTTTTCGGAAGTTGATACAGTGAGATTTTGCTAACCACTACCACCACCACCAAATCACCACAAAAATGGTGTCCAGAGTCTCTGTTGGAACTCCGTGATACAGGAAAGTTCACTTTCCACTTGACTAATTTCAATTTCTAGTCCCTCAGGACATTCAGTTGTACGACATATAGTCTCCATGGTAAGTCTCATTGTTAGATTATTCCATATGAACTAGGAACCCCAGGCAAGCATAAGCATATACCAGGTGTGACATTAAGAGATCACCTCTCTGAAACAGCACAACTTTTTGCACAACTATAAATATTCTATATATAGAAGGAGAATAGATGCCTTTGAGCTGTGATGCTGGAGAAGACCATTGAATATACCATGGATTGCTAGGAGAACAAACA